TGCGTGTGTATCCGAGATGACCAGACGTTGGCTCATCATGGCAAGCACAAAGTATCTCCTCACGAAGTGACGTCGGAACGACAAGTAGGTGGGTACTTCCTCTGGGAGAAAAGTTCTTCTTATAGAGAACACCACTACGTAAGCAGAATGACGGCAGGCTCCTTGCAAATCTTCTAGGGACGGTTGTTGTCCGGCCATTCAAAAATTCAATAAGAGGAAGCAACTCACTGTCTTCTTTCTCCTTGCACAAAATCGTAGTGGTGTCAACGACTCCTACAAACGCCATACTGTCATCTTCTGTGTCCTCTTCGCGCTTTATCGGTGACCTTGATAAGCAATCGGCGTCGGCGTGCTGCCGTCCGGACTTATACACGACCGTCATATCAAACTCTTGGAGGCGTAAGCTCCACCGTGCGAGCCGACCAGACGGGTCTTTCAAGTTGGTCAGCCAGCAGAGGGAATGATGGTCGCTGACTACGTGGAAGGAACGGCCATATAGGTACGGACGAACTTCTTAACCGCCCATACGACAGCAAGACACTCTTTTTCCGTTGTGGAGTAGTTGGACTCGGCGCGGGGAAAGCGTCCTACTAGCATATGCGATCACACGCTCGGCTGAGTCTTGCCACTGGACGAGTACAGCGCCTAAACCCACGTTGCTGGCATCTGTATGGACCATGGTAGGAGCATCCTCATCAAAGTGAGCAAGCACAGGCGGAGTCTGCAGGCGTTGTCGGAGATCGTCAAATGCCACCTGTTGATCGTCGCCCCATGTGAACGAAACGTCTTCTCTTGTGAGTCGTGTTAACGGCGAGGCTATGTTGGAGAAATTGGCAATAAACCTTTGGTAGTATGCGCATAGGCCAAGGAAACGCCTGACTGCTTTCTTGTCTTTTGGTACCGGAAATTTTCTGACGGCCGCAATCTTATCGGGATCAGGTCGAACACCTTCATGGCTCACCACATGGCCTAAAAATTTAAGCTCCTTGAAACCAAAATGACACTTCTCGGGTTTCAGTGTCAGGCCGGCAGACCTTATTGCCCTAAATACCTATAGCAGCCTGCTCAGGTGTTCCTCAAATGTTTTTGAAAAAACAATGACGTCGTCCAGATAGACCAGACATGTCTGCCACTTAAGGCCTGACAGAACGGTATCCATCAGTCTCTGAAATGTTGCGGGGGCTGAGCACAATCCGAATGGCAAGACTTTAAATTCATAAAGCCCGTCAGGCGTTACAAAAGCCGTTTTTTCTCTATCTCGCTCGTCGACCTCTATTTGCCAATACCCACTTTTGAGGTCCATTGACGAAAAGTAGCGTGCATACCTCAGCCTGTCGAGTGAATCATCGATGCGCGGTAATGGGTACACGTCTTTCTTTGTCACACGGTTCAGCTTGCGGTAGTCGACACAAAATCGCAAGCTTCCGTCTTTCTTTTTAACCAGCACTACCGGCGATGCCCAAGGACTTCTTGACGGCTGGATGACGTCATCATCGAGCATTTTCTTCACTTGTTCCTGGATTGCTTCACGCTCTTTCGGTGCTACGCGGTATGGGTTCTGTCGTATTGGCCTTGCCGTCTCCTCCGTTATTATCCGATGCTTCGTCAGTGGCGTTTGACTGACCCTCGAGGTCGATGAAAAACAGTCTCTGAACTGGTGAAGAAGATCTACTAGACGCTGTCTCTGCGCTGGTGACAAATCCGAGCTTACGTCAATAGGTGGTGAGGCTGACGTGGCTTGCGGCTCGTCCTGTTGTACTACACAGCACTCGCGGATTTCGGTGATCTCGTCGAAGTAGGCGACTGTAGTGCCTTGTGTAATGTGTCGTCGCTCGTTGGTAAAATTCGTCAACAGAACCTCTGCTTCACCGCACACAACGTTGACGATACTTCTGGCAATTGCAACACCGCGAGAGAGTAGGAGCGTCAATACTTGTTCAGCGATTCCTTCTCCAGTATTCTGCTCGCTGCACGTGACTGGAACAAGGCGGCACGATAACGGAGGTATGGTCACATCGTCAACGACTCGTAGGGATTTTCGGTGTAGCGCCGCGCTTTGATCCGCTGAAAAGGTCAGTACACCGTCCGGAATATTGATGATGGCACCATATTCACGCAAGAAATCCATCCCCAAGATTGCCTGCTTGCAACACTCAGAAAGGATAACAAAAGTTGCGACGAAGGATGCATCCCCTATCTTCATTCTTGCGGTGCACTTTCCGGTAGGTGTGAGTAGCTGCCCTCCAGCTCCTCTAATCTGCGGTCCTGTCCATTCCATTCTAACCTTCCTGAGCGTGTCTGCCAGAATCTCACTCATTATCGAGAAGTCCGCGCCAGTGTCGACCAATGCCATGACGTCATGTCCGTCAATCGTAATTGCAACTTCGGCAGTAACAACCCCATCTTTCGTCGATTCATTGAAAATGTGTCTCTCTTCGCTCGGCAGTAATGGGGGATTTTCAGCACTTCGACGATTCGCAACCTTCCCCCCTAAGGTCGCTGCTTTTAGTTTCCCCGGCGTGGACTAGGAGATCTCCCTCTGTGCATGTCAGTGGTGCTCCGTCTAGAGGATGGAGAAAAACGCCCAGGAGAGGGTGAGCGTGACCGAAACCCAGGAGGAACATCCCGCGGGGTCATGACACTCGTGTCGACGTCAGATGTTCCGTTGAAATGGCGCCGAGGAACCGTAGAAGGAAATCCTTGGTACCCTGCGGCGCGATACGGGCAATACCGAACGATGTGGCCTGCTTCCCCACAGTGAAAGCACAGGGGCCTATGATCAGGGGTACGCCAGATGTCAGTTTTGCGAAGTGGTGGCCTCCTCGGCATCGAAGTTTCTCTGTAGTACCAAGGCGCTGTCGGCGGATGTTGCTGGTGGTACTGATGTGGTGGCGGCACGTTCGCTGGCTGTCGGCGGACTACTTCTGCATAGCTTGCCCTGGGACCGCTCGTGTTCGGCTCAGGAAGCGAGAGCGCTTGCCTGATCTCCTGGCGTACAACTTCCGTCACTGAGGCGATCGCGCAGTCATTCGGTTTGACGACGAGTTTCTTGACCTCTTCTTGTACGATTTCTCGTATTAGTTGGCGCAAAGAACCTTCGTCGGGTGTTGTTGCTGTGGTAGAGGCTGCCACGCTGATCGGTGCACTGTGGGTTGGGCGGTCATACTGGCGATAACGTAGATGCAGTGCGCGTTCGATAGATGTCGCCTCCTTGGAGAATTCATCCACACTTGTAGGCGGGTTTCGTACGAGACCAGCGAACAGCTGCTCCTTAATGCCCCGCATGAGGTGGCTAACCTTTTTGGTTTCGGGCATATTAGGATCTGCTCGACGAAATAGCCGCGCCATGTCCTCAACAAACATCGTAACGGATTCATTTGGTTTCTGAATCCGTGATTCGAGGAGACGCTGTGCGATTTCTCGTCTTTCAGTGCTCGCGAACGTGTCGAGAAACTTCTGCCGGAACTCGTCCCAAGACGACCACACGCGATTTGTGAACCACGTTCGGGCTCCGTCTTGAAGCGGAAAATAAACGTAGCCCAATTTCTGTGTGGTGTTCCAACCGTTAACATTCGCTGTGTGCTCGAATTCCTCGAGCCAGTCATGTGCATCCTCATATGCGTTTCCGTGGAAATCAACCGGAAGTCGAGGGTTCAAAACAGTCACCTGTGTCGTGCTGGGGCTGGACATGTTGGGGCCAGTGCTTCCAGGCGCCGTCATGCTTTCTGGCACAGTCACGCTTTCCGGCAATGGACCAAACTCCGGGCTGAGGCCTAACAGGCGCCGGCTGCTGCGGTGAACGGGGGTGTCGATGCGCGGAAGTCTTTCTTGACCAGATGCGGGGCTGTTGTCAGGCGTCCCGAACATGTACCCAGCACCTCCACCAGTGTCACAATGCAGAAACAGCAGCAGTCGAATCCAGGAAACTCACTTTAATTGTATTAGAATACTGGCAAACTGATCGGGAGAGAACCTCGTCTTCTTCACTCGCTGCGTGTGTTCTTCGTTGTCCTCTTCGCGCTGCATATTCAATGTGGCAATATAACAGTTCTGAAACCTTTAGCGAAATCTGCAGTAAAAAAATAGATGAACCAGTTGATGAGTATTCATATTGAAGGGTCCTGCAATACTTTTTGAAATCATCAAATGACACTCTTATTGGAGTTTATTTCTTTGCAAATCGATTCCCACAGAGATGTTTTAACTCCGTCAAGTGCGAGCGAAGTTCCGGGAATTCGTCGCATGCTTTGGGTAGGTGGTTTCTCTTTTCTCTTATACCAACAAGTGCACTGAAAGCTACACAGGGAAGGATGGCATGAAAGAAGATGGTTACATCAGCAGGCGTGATGAAATGGCATCACTTTTTCTTGTTGTGATTCTTCTGCGCCTTCGTTGGTTACTGTGTATTGTTAGTAGACTACGGAGCATGCTTACGGCACGTGGCGGCACTATATGGAAAAAACTGTACCTGATCCACACGCTTTGTAGTATCTACTGATTGGCTGATCGCACGGTGTCTGTTGAGTGACACCAAACAGCAGGCACTAGCAGCTCTGAATAGAGTGAGCACAGGCTGCTGCATGAAAAGAAAGCGCCTGGGAAATCTGCACTTTATGGCATTTCTACTCACGCCAGTTTCACATTCCGCTTCCAAACTCTCCTACCTTTCTGCAAGATTTGCACGACTACAAGATTTGGCCAAGCTGTTCACATCAGTGTATGCTTTCAGCAGGACGTGTTTTATCACCAAGTCCGAAGGATGGTTTATGACCCCTTTAAGGTTATGTTAAAAACACTGGTACAGTGCTCTACAAGAGATGATACTGTTAAGGCACAGAGCCGCGCTCCTACAGAGGTCATAGACAATGGTGCCCATTTGCTCTTGGCAGACCACTTCATCAGACGTCGATGTCCACGTCATACCACATAAGCTAAGGAAGCAGTGCAGAAAAAGTTGCGCTGAGAGAGTAAAACTTATTGTCTCAAATTGCAATATGTATAATTGGTGACCAGCATTTTATTGCATAAAAACACACAGCAGACATGAATGATGGTGGAATGTTGTGTTGACAAAAATCGCGTGACATCACATAAGTGCCTTCGCTGTAGTCTGAAAGAACATAAAAAAGTTTTTGATGCAGCCATAGAATATGGTCACAGTTGGGCATTTCATATGAGCGAAAAGCACTAGCATATAATCCGCTTACGTAAAACCACATCTGATTTTTCTTGTAATGTTTGGCAAACACGATCTTTAAGTAAAAAACACATTAACAAATTTCTAAACAAAATGCTCAAATAGTTCCAAATTCAAGTGTGACAGAGAGCTACACACTAGCCTAAAAGCACAGACATCAATCTCGCAGCATTGATTTACTGAAACTGCGGGCTTCATATACTGCACAGGAGCGATGCCTACGAAGTCATTCTACATGCATGCAAAGGTCCGACAAGTTTTGATGGCCTCCAAGTACACAGATGAGAAACTTCGTCAGAAAGAGGAGCAAAGGGGACATGCATTCTCACAGAAACCATTTCTAATGATTACCTTCCTGAATCAGCGTTATCTGCGATAGACTGCACACGCTTTGTAGTATATATCTACAAAGCGTGTGATAGCACGGTGTCTGTTGTATGACGCCAAACAGCAGGCACTAACAGCTCTGAAGAGAGTGAGCACAGGCTGCTGCATGAAAAGAGGGCGCCTGGGAAAATGGCGCTTCGTCGCAACCAATCCCTTTGAAAATCCGCACATGTGGGCGACGTTCTACGCAGCGATACTTCCAGAGCTGACACTTCGGGCCATGAAGAAGCGTCTCGAGCTGCTGCTTTGGTACTTTCGTCAAAAGGACTCTGCAAACCTTCGTTAGTAAGCTATTTTATGTATACAATAGTAACAATTTTGTTTTTAACAACATCCATATTCAGAAACACTCTTTGTTCGACTTGTCACAAGGCAACACGCTGATTTTGTGCCTTGTGGCAGCGCGTTTGAAACGTGTATGTGCTGCCTTGAAGGCTTAGATTGTACTCCCGCTCCATGTCAAGGTGACAAAAAATTTTAATGATCATGCATCAAGCGCCACTATAACGCTAAAGTAAATCAATTCACACTGAAAACAAAGATTGCTTTCTTGCTGCAAGATAAGTACAATTTTTATTTTCCTTTTCAACATGCTTTTCATTTTCATGCACTGGTGGCATCTCGATTGCCAAGAACAAAAGACGCTTGGCTAAAACCAACAACGCGCATTGCGCTCCGGTGGCGTTGAGCGTATGAGTGGAACGGGGAACAGAATCAATTAGCTAAAAGCGCCTACCAACCTGGTATGTGTATGTTACTTCATTTTGCTGAATCATAAAATTGGGAAGCAACTTTGCTAGAGTTTACGCGTGCGTGCCACTGGAGCGGGCCCGGCCAAAGCATCAACGATAATCAGATCATTGTCCTAATAAGCAAAAGTGGCAAAGTACAACTCCCACTTGGACGAGATCTCTGCAGCACTATATCTCAGCAAATTAACTTTGGTAACTTAGGAAGTGTTATTGGATAGATGGGCCTTGACAAAGCAGGTAGCTGGACTCCTATAAGCAAAACCATGCTTGAACAAAAACAAAATTAAGATCACAATTGAGCTTGAAAAATACTACAATGAAACAAAATACTACAAAAATTATTTTTGTTTACCCTAAAATGAGGGTTCTTTATTGCAGAGGTTGTTGAAGTACTCTGAAGATGCTTTGGACAAATACCTTGCTTTATATATAATTTGTCACCAGAAAATAAAGTGTTCATGAAGTTTATTCATGAACTATTCATATAATATTCATTTAGAGGAAACCAAAATTTCAATCGCTGTTGTTTGCTCTGCAAGTTCGTGTCGTCCTTGAGGGTGGGCCCAAATAGTAGCATAGAAATCTAAAAAACAATTACCTGAAAATTCTATCAGTGGCTGCATTTATATGCATTATTTCAAAAGTCCTCCTACATGCAAACAATAAATAGAAGCATTGATACCAGTATAACAGATAGGTAGGAAGCTTTAAAAATGGAAAAACTTGTAGAAATCGGGCGGCATATGTCACCATATTTACCAACAGTGCTTATGGTTTGTGTCGTAAACACTAAGCTGGAACCAGTGGCGTAGCCAAGAGGGTGGGAAGTTCAACACCTCTCATCCCACCCCCCCCCCAAAAAAAAAAAAACATTTCTCGCCACTCCCCCGACTGTAGAATCTATATCATACTTCCTTATTGTGGTCTATCAAGGACGCCAGCAGTTGTCTTTCTCGTGGCTAATTAATCTAACATTTAATCAATGTTATCTACGCTCTAAGAAGGGGCCCCTCAAGTGATGTCAGCAATGTTAACAGCAACTTCTCTGCGCTACGCGACAATTTGTAATCAAGCCTTCCTCTCGGCATTTGTACACAAACTGTAGTACACAGAAAAACATCCTCAATGCAGAAATTGCTGGGAAGAATCAGTGAAGCAAGGAATCTGAAGTTGAGTTATACAAAGCACTTCGTTTGCCGCTGTTCATCGACATTGGCTGGCCACTCTCGCACGTGAAATGTCTAGCATCAGGAGGTTGAAGTTCCATTTAGAGCAACGGCAGTTTCTAGATGCGTGCTCTAGTACTTTCACGTGGGAGTTGCTCTGTATCTCCATTTGGCATTTGCAAAGAAGTGTTGCTGGAGGTACGTTCACCGATAATGCGATTCACGTGTTTTGAACCTGTACTTGATTCCAGTCAAACTTCTACTGTGAACGTGTGACCATTTCTAACAATTCTTACCTCTATATTTTGTAAATACATATCAACATATTGTGTACGTACTCCATGCACTGGCCGACTCATGGTATGCATGACACCCTTGCATCAGAACAGAAGACAGCCATTATCCAGGAAATCCGTGTTAGTGCATGTTTCCAATTTGATTTATCTATATCTTGACTTTGGCTAAGAAGATCATTGTCCGGTTTGCATGATTTTGCCTACAACATTGCCTATGTGACTTGCTGTCTCCAAATGAGTGGACATTAGCAAAATCGGTCTTGGCTAAGCAACAGATGAGTGCACACCCAGCGAACGATGCTGCTAAAATTATCCAGATTTTCTGTACAAATATGCGATGTAGTTCTGTCATACCTCTGTTGCGCTGGACGGCTCATGCCCTGGGCTATACAGCAGGTGTCGCTTTCTATACAGGTCTATATATATATATATTTTTTTTCATCAGCTTCTATGAATTATGAGTTGATTTGAACGAGTCTCTGATAATACATCCACAATGGGCAAGTAAGAAAAGGCACGATCAGCTACCTCAATGTTTGTTCTCCACAAACTTTTAAAACCAGATCTACTCACTGTTCATGTCCTCGTTAATTAACTGTGGGTGGATCAAAATTTCTACAGTCCTCCTCTACCTGATGTCTTTTGTAAATGTATCATGGTTTTGGGACATAAACGCCAACGGTTATTGTCAAGTTTTTTAAATTTCATCAAACCTAGGTTGTTAGCTGATGCTTACTACTGGATCATCATTTTGTAAGGAGCGCAATACACCGCTGTATCGTAACAGATGCCAATCCCGCAACAATGATGCAAGCTCGAAAGCTGGGCAAATCGGGACTAACCATCGCCAAGCAGTTTGATGTAATGGTTAATGCTTTATTACATCGATGCTCTGTTAATAGAGACACAATCAAGGATACCTAATGACTGATTGTAACTGCAGAAAAATCAGAAGAGAAGCCTGTGTACAAAGCGGACCGCTTGAATCTGTGCATTACCTCCTGACTAGACAGCTGTGCTCTCCTCACAAAAGCACTATCAGCATTATACCACCACAACAATAACATTTTATTAGCAGTAATTTGCCCCAGACAGTACTCATAAAAAAGAAATAAGGGAGTGCTACTATATACAGATAAATCAAAACAAATACTAACAAGCCCAAATAACTTCTTTTGCAGCAGTGATCCCCCATCGAGTAAAACAGTTCCCCAGTGCTCTCAGAGCACACACTTGGTCTAGTTAAATAATACCAGACGAGAAAGCTGTATTATCACATTCTATAGACTCTAACAGAAAAAATTTATAATATAAAGGTAACACTAACAGGTATTTAGTGCAAAACAAGAAAATGTTACGCCCTTCCCTAACACTTCTTATAGCGCTTAAAATGACTGACGATATTGCCAAAAGCAATGCTTCTACCTGGAACAATTCTGCATTGCTCATCAGCCAATGCAGCATATACCTGCTTGGAAACAGCTAACTGTTGTAATTTTTTAGTGTTGCAGCAACATCTGACAGTTAGCAAACTGTTTTAATTCAATGCAAGTTTTGCACTCTGCAAAATACCGAGGCAAACTGCAACAAAAGGAACATTTTGTAACTATGGATACTTAATGAGAGTGTTCACTCCTAAGCTCCACAAACTCCCTTGGTGAAACACAATCTTGTGACGTTTTCTTCTGCACCAATATTCGAAAGTGTTTCACACGTCAACCTGGTCATGGGCATCACATGTCAACCTGATCACGGGCTGATCAGAATGGCATCTGGCGCATTGTCGTTCACTTCTTGAGGATTCGCCTGATCTGACTGTTCTGGTGCACGACAGTTCCTTCTGCCAGGTCCGTCTTCTCCGTCAAGTTGTCCAGCAACTCGTTCTGGTCGTCCAGCTCCTTGCCGAGGCCTTGTGCCAAGAACTTCAGTCTCCCCAAACCGCTGTCGAGTTCCGCTGGAAACAAGGAAACGCACACTTAGTAGTCCGCTTCAGTCATTCATCGTACACATCTCGTAAATTCTTAGTGTGCACTGTTATCATGTTAGGTTAACCCTTTGAGATGCAATGTACAAAACTGTGCACACCACTTGGTTTTGCTAATTGCATCAAGTAGATTTCAGATCTTTTATTGATACGAATACAAGAATGTTACATGTGTTTAGTGTACATAGAGGCTAAGATGGATACTATGTGGGGTTTAACGTCCCAATACCACCATATGATTATGAGAGAGGCCATAGTGGAGGTCTCCGGAAATTTCAACCACCTGAGGTTCTTTACTATGCACCTAAATCTGAGCACACGGGCCTACAACATTTCCGCCTCAATCAGAAACTGCAGCCGCTGCAGCTCGGATTCGATCCCGCGACCTTAGGTCAGCAGCAGGGTACCTTAGCCACTAGACCACCACGGCGGGGCGACATAGAGGCTAAGAAAGAATTTCCCAGAAGAGATGGTGTGCAAGTCTTTCCACAAATGCTTCATCAGCAGCGCATTAGATGAACGGAGGACGATGCACTCTGTGACGTAACTAGAGAGAAACAAACGTCGTCGGACTCAAGTTTGGACGAGTCTGAGTGACAGCACTTAGTGGCCTTTTGGCGTTCAACTACATAAGATTAGTGTCCAAGTAAAAAACGCCACCACAGAGCAGCTGGTTGTGTCGCGTATTTATCAACGTAAGGGTGCACCTGCGATACTTTGCGATTTTTAAAAATTTTTTTTCGGAGATTCAAGTTTGAGGGGGGGGGGGCAACCTATATTCCAGGTTTTCACGGTAAGCTTGGCTGTAAAATTAACTAAGATTTGCACTAAGATGAACTGCTTCCTCATTGCTAGAGTAAAGGTCTTCATTAACATGGTAGTCTTGCAGGGATTCGCAGTGTTATACTAAACAGGTACATTGAGATAAATTTCAAGTCATTAGCCAAAACATTTGTCACAATATATATCACTTTGCTTTGATTCAGACGCCGATGTGACAGAGTGTGTTGAACACAATGCCCATGTACAGTCGCGCCCAATGTGAGTTGCAATGTGCTTCCTGTGGTCAAAGTGGCACCGGCATTGCATGGCCGCTGAGACACAAAAAACAATCAGTGATGTAAACACTGTTTCTGCAAATTGCCAAAATCAATTTCACATTTTCTGGTATTAGTCGTGGGCTATGGGTGCTGTCAATCATGGCTACTGTGCTAGTAACTCGCACAGAGTGCCAATGCACACGGTAATTTAAGCCACTAAGTTCATTGCCTGTCCGCTGCATCTATTCCCATTTCCAGAACGCACAGACAAAAATTTGATACTTAGGTGCCGTGGACTACATTAAGACACTTTTCATCACAAAAACACTTTCCACCTATCGGATCCCTTCTTCACATCTACCTGATTTTACCACCCCTGTTCCTGCGACAAAAGAATAAACCAGACATAGCAAATCAGTTATTTGGAGAACTGCAAACCAGAAGAAAGTTGTTCATGAAGGATGAAGAAAAAAAAAACAGTCGACAAGTTATGGAACGGCAGGGAGGACAACCAACAATTTTTCTCATTCAAGAACAGTCCTAGCACTTTGCTTCACGCACAGCAAATAACAAGACTTAAACATCTTACCAAGGTTTGAGTCTAGCTTCTGCTCGATTTCAGCTGAACGGTTCTTGTAGGCCGGCTGCTGCGGCCGCTGCAGCGAAAGTCCCCCTGCTCGTCCTCGAAGCCGGTCCCAAATCCAGAGGTGTCTAGGCCTCGAACTCGAAAGGCAGGATGCGTGGATGGCCTCGACGCATTGCTCTCCTGTTTCACTTTGTTTAACTGCCTTCTGGAGGTCGGTCGCAGGCTGCTCTTCTTCTTCCTCAGCTCCAAATCCAGCAGTGGCACCCACATTTCTAGAGGCATCAGTGCTGCTACCGCCGCGGAAGTAACTCTTGATGCTTCCAAAAATGCTCTGCAAGCGAAAACGAAATTTAACTCTTGTATCCTGAAGAAAATGCTGGCATAAATTCAGCTTAAATGAAATCGAAGCACAGGAAAGGTTCTTAAAAGCACTGATGAAGTTATATATTTGCAGTGTAAAACTTTCAGCTTGTTTAACGCTACAACAAAGGGCAGAGAATAAGGATGGTGCAAAACACGGCTTCGTAGTTAACTACGAAGTGCGCTATATAACACTTCAAGTACTTTCTCATGGTTTGTCAAAATGCAACACGCAAGCTTTGGTGAGCAGCTGGTCATACATCAACTGTCCAGCTTAATAAATGAACTGGCACACACTAAGAACCTCGCTTTGAACTTGTGTATGCATTTGTTTTTGTGATGCGCTAGCTGATGTCTATATAAATTATTCTTGTCTTTGCTGTTTACAAGTCAGGCAGTGGCTTTCAAAGCAACAGAAACGGATATGTGACTTCATGAATGCTAAAACTGCTGCTTGGGCGAGTTGGTTCATGATTATTTAGACAGAATTATCAGCACAAAAAAGCGTTGTGTGTGTGTTTCTTTTTTAAAAGTTCAGTCTTTTTGCGCTGATAATTTTGTCTAAAAAATTCATGAATCCTGTGGTGCTTTCCGCACTCTTTAACAGCTTAAAGGGTATGATGAACCGAATAAGTAAATGCAATCATGTGCAGGTAAAATTGTGGATGTAGCCAGGCAGTAGCTAAGAAAAATGTTGCGAATTTCCCACATCGATGGCAAGTTCGTTTTTTATCAGTTTTAGTTTGGTTTCATTTAATAACTACTACAATTAAAAATACAACTATAGATAATGTGCCCCATAAGCTTTTTTTGGCATGAAATGGTTTTGCCAGCAAAAGCAGGCTGCTCGATCCTTATTTTGCCCAAACATAACACATGGAGATCATCTATGTAAGGTTACCCCCCCCCCCCCCACCCCCCAAAGCCTTGGCAAATCAGGAAAGTAGTATGTTGTCAACCTAATGTGATTGATGTCACAGTGACACTGCATAGGCTATATCAACCAACCAATCAATCATTAAATCAATCAACTTAATGATAGGAGGGTAACAAGTTGCAAGGTCCCGCTTACCTTCATGGAATTCAGGTGCTTCTGGCTGACTTTGAGGTTCGTATTGATGGTGTCCAGTTTACGATCAACATTTTTAAGCTGTTCACCTTGGTGCGCCAATTCCTGTCGAGAGATAAAATAAAAATAAAGGCTAGAGTGGAAAAGCTACCGAACCGCTTAGAATGGACACATGACCCCGTAGTGCGCAACAAGCTAGGCGTTGCGATACGAGCTGCGTTACATGACACCGTCTTGAAGGGCGTTCGGAACATCACTGTGCGCTCAGAGGCGTAGTATATGGGGCGGCTGGCTTTCTCGAACGATAGGCATCGCAACTAAAACGGCCCGCGTTTTACCGAGAAACTAACCCAATGCGTTAAAGCCAATATTATCAGTCAGATTTCGGATTCAACGAGTGACAGCGTTTCTCACCTCCAGCTGAAAAACAATGACGGTGTGTTACAACAACGTTTCTGGCGAGTTATCAAGGATCCGACAAACGGATGCTCTGTTTTTCCATGTATTCCTGAGAGCACCGTTAGCAATGTTGGCCATACAAACATTTTAAACACGACTGCAGAGTGCTAAATTAAAGTTCGTAAACATGTCACGGGAGTGTCTGCGTTTAAGTTGAATTAAAACAACAGCGCACGGAGATCAAAAGGCACAAACGCTTGCAGAGAGGTTGTATATTTAATTTACATTCACATCGCGGTGTAAGTACACCTCCTCGAACCGCAATACTGGCAGTAAACTCTGGCGAAACAATGTTTAGAGATGCAAGGACGAAACAGCTGATTACTTCTGCAACGGAATAAAACAGCACACAATGCGTCCTTTTATACAGCGCATTAAACGAATAATGAGGGAGACAAGGAACTCACCTCGGCAGTGGCTATGCCAACTTGTTCCGTGTCATACAGTACGCGCACGGCCGAGTTGGAGCTTTGCAGGATGCTGTCTTCCAGCTGCTGACGTTCGAGCAGTAGCTGCTCGCGCTGCTGCTCCCATTGCCGATTGCGGAGGTTTTGCTCATTTCCCAGTGAGTACGGCGAACTGCTTTTGCGGGCACTGTTGAGGAAAGTGAAGTCGTCAACGTCTTCGGTAGTTTCGTCATCGAAAAACGGATTCCCAGCTGCCTTTCCTCGTCCAGCGCTCGCCATCTTTTAATTTTGACAGGCACGTGACCTTAGACCAACGTTGCCAGAGCACATTGAGCCTTGCCGATGTTTATGGCGTACTCATTTGACGCCGCAGTGCGATCACGATGTACGATCTGTACGATGACGCAAGCCCAAAAGCCAATGCGTGTCACACGCACAGACCTTTGACGCTGTAGCTACCGCAGCTTTTACAGCGTTGACGGTCAACCTGTGACGGCAAACCTGTGAATCCGTGGAACTCCAACCGTTCCGTGAGACTATTCCACATAAAGCGGGCACGTGAAAGGTATGGCACCTCTTTCCTTCACAGTTCTATGGAGTTCCAAAGTGCTCTAAATACTTCACTGCGGTGCACGTTTTCGCCATGTCGACGTCAATTGATACCCAGGAAGTCGGTGCGTCTTTACGTTATTTTTGCGGACTCTATTTTTTGGCGTAGAGTACTTTGTAACACATTGGCTTGCTCGATTCCTGCATTTTGAGTGTCGGTGTCGACAACTGCGAAGAGAATCGTGCGCAGCTATACTTATCTATTCAAAATGCTATTTTATCTAGTATATAGACGTGATCGACACCAGCGAATTTAATCGCTGTCTAGAGGGTGGCCCCGTACTAGATAATTACCCAGTGCCGCCAAACAGGTCCCAACACCAATATGGGACTCTGTACCGTAGGATGTAGGCTGAGCACTCGAGCCACACGTGTCAGGCACTGCGCCGTGCTCCCGACCGGGTTGCAGAAATTAGGTGCCTTTTTCTCATCTTCTAACCACTACCACCACCACCACCACACGTGACTTTCACGCTGTCGTCCTTTATGAAAGGCAACAGGTGAGCGCGTGGCCTGCGCTCTTTGGCGGCTGCGTACAGCACCATCAACCGATAGCTTGTGCCCGGCTGCCCGGATTATCAGCGCGCACAGTGGTCTCGCGCCGCCGATGCAGGCAGCCGTCTCCGAAGAAAACACATCTACTTTTGGTGGCGTCACCCACTGCGTGATCTAAGCAAGTGTAATCCGCGTAATCTACAGCAGCGCTTCTCCGCTGGCCGTGACTCGTTATTTTTGTTTTCCAGTAACTGAAGCCAAAAGCGGGCGTCCTTTTTTAGCTGTCGGATGATATGGTGCGGTAGGCAGCCGTTGCACAGCACAGGCAACGTGCTCTCGTGTTCCCTTCATATCATAAAGGACGACAGTATACACAGCTCCGACTTGCACCACGTGCACTCAGTTGTGCTCAGTGCAGCAAAGACCAGTGACATATTCGATGGCTTGAAAAAATCAGTGCGCATTACATATATGAGCCTGTGTCAGTGAATTAAGAACGCCGCTGGCGAGATCGAACCCGTTTTCAGTAGCGCAAGTCACGTGACACGCAGGGCTTTAAAACATTGAATAAGATGATCACATATATAGCTTGAGGATACCGCCGTGGTAACTTTAGTTTTAGTTTTTAGTTTATTCATCATCATAGTTTTAAACATACATCACTTATCCAGTGGTTGAGTGGAAAGGGGTGGTGAAAAGGCAACTGAATGCCTGACAATGCACCGATCCCCGCCCAGACCACAATAATGCACAGCACTCAGCATGTGTGTCTAAAGCATAAATACATAGATTCAATACAGTGAAATATACAAAAGTGTAGACGTAGAGCGTGGAAAAGATAAGAAATAATTACACATCTATAAATGCACTCTTTACACATAAAAGCCCTTTAAAATCCTATAAAAACAAAAACGTAGTTGTGAACAGTTGTGAGGAAGTGAAAAATATACAGTGCGTTTCAGCAAAGCTACGCGAGTTGCACTTCATTAACACACAAAAAAGACATATCACGTTTGAAGCATGAGTAGATAAGCGTGTATCTTCTTTTTGAAAATTGCTGGGATTGACTTTCATTCACTATGGTGGTGGCCATGGTATTTGAGTTTAAAAACGAAGGAATAAGGTGCGCTAGCTTTTGTCTACCGTAGTTGGTCCGAGTCCTCTCACTGTAATAGGTGGCTTTTCTAAAGTTATACATTGGTAGTTTCCGGGAGTAAGCATCATAAAATTTAACTGCGTTTGATTTGATTTGATCGTAAATGACTGTCGCTAGCTTTTTATGAAAGATATTTTCAAATGTTAGGATTCCATGCTTAAGGAAAAGAGGAGCAGAAGGCGTTCGACGCGGAACATTCTCGATTATACGTAGCATTCTTTTTTGCAGTCGGTGAATCCCAATTTTATTTGTTTTTGTTGTCGAGCCCCAGATTAACAGGCAGTATTGTATGCGGGAATAAACTAAAGCGTAGTAAAACTTAGCAGATGAGATGTCGCGCTGCTGGACTCGAGGATGCGAGTTCGACCCCGTGCCTTGATATGTGGGGTTTAACGTTCCAAAACCACCATATGATTATGAGAGACGCCGTAGTGAAGGGCTCCGGAAATTTCGACCTCCTGGGGTTCTTTAACGTGCACCAATTTGCCAGCGTCGAAAAAAGCCATCGGGACTCCCTTCCGGGTATCTTCAACCCATCGACATCCCGCCGGAGCCATTCTTCCGTGTTGGTTTGGACCTTCTTGGTCCCTTCCCAACATCCGCCTCCGGAAACAAGTGGGTTGCGGTTGCGACAGATTACGCGACCCGCTATGCAGTTACGCGAGCCATGCCAACAAGCTGCGCTACAGACGTCGCTGATTTTTTACTACACAATCTCATTTTAGTGCATGGAGCCAGCCCCTCGTCATCTGCTGACAGACCGAGGCCGTATTTCTTTCGAAAGTGGTTGACGATATACTGCGTTCCTGCTCTACCCAACATAAGCTCACGACATCGTACCATCCCCTGACAAACGGGCTTACAGAACGTTTAAACCACACCCTGACAGACATGCTATCGAAATACGTCTCGGCTGACCATCGTGATTGGAACCTTGCACCACCCTACGTGACGTTCGCATACAATTCCTCCCGGCATGACGCTGCTGGGTACTCGCCATTTTACCTTCTGTTTGGACGCGAACCTACATTGCCGTTGAATACCTTCCTGCCAGCCGCTGCGCAGTCTACTTCTGAATATGCACGCGACGCTATTACCCGAGCTGACCATGCTCGTCAGCTTGCCCGCAGCAGCTTAATGGCCTCCCAAGACTCGCAGAAGCATCGTTACGACGAGCGGCATCGCGACGAACACTTTCCGACAGGTTCCCTCGCTCTTCTTTGGTCCCCTACGCGACATGCAGGCCTTTCAGAGAAGCTTCTATCTCGTTTCACGGGCCCATACCATGTGCTTAGACGAGTGACCGACACTCCATATGAAATTGTCCCTGATAATCCATCAACCTCTTCTGCTCTGCTGTCCCGGGACATCGTCCACGTATCAAGGTATCAAGGCTCAATCGTTACCTCACTGCTCTTGCTGTGGCCCCGTAAGCTCGCCGGGTCCGCGCTTTTGCCGCCGGGGGATGTGTTACGTGATTTCGGCTGACTGAAACAGGGCATTGTGGGACATCGGACATACCCAAAAAAAGTGCCTCACACTGAAAGTGAAGAAGTGGACGTTGTCTGTGAGCTGCGTTGTGGCTGGGGACTCACTACTGTTATTTTCCACGTAACAATATATATATATATATATATATATATATATATATATATATATATATATATATATATATATATATATATATATATATATATATATTGAAAATGGGTTTATTGGCGTGTGTTGCGATGGTGGCCCTACGATGAAAACATGATCGGGACAGAGCAACGGTCAAGCAGATGCCGGCGACGATCAGAACGAGGCGAGCTGAGAGAAGCGCAGAACCCAGTACCCAAGGGCGGTAGCGATGTTGCTTGCCGACGATGCGTTTTCTTCTTCCCAATTTTCCCCCGCCGAAAAAGAGCCATCCTGGCGACCTAAGAGTCTGGAGGCAGAGGGCTATGATATGGCTGAAGGCGGGGACGTGGACGATTTCACGTCCACGCCAGCGCATGTCGTCAGATGGGGAAAGTGGCTCAATGAGAAAATTCACCGGCGAGGTTTGCTCCAAAACGCTGTAAGGACCTCCGTACTTCGGGACGGGTTTTGAGGAAAGGCCGGGGGTTTGTTAAGGAACAGCCAGCCATACAAGTGATCCCGGGGAATAGCTGTGGCTTCGTGAAGAGTCGGCGTTGTTTTCTTTTTGGCACTGCTGTTCTTGTGACGTAAAGGTGCTTGCGAGGTCACGGCACTCTTCCACTTTTCAGGCAGCTTCGGACACAGATGGGCATTCGCATGCGTCAGGACGGTATGGAAGGAAAGTGTCAATGGTGTGGGATGGTTCGCGTCCATAAAGAAGAAAGAAAGACGAAAATCCAGTGGTAGACTGTGCCACGGTGTTGTATGCGATCGTGATGAATGGAAGAATGTGATCCCAGTTAATATGATCAGATGTCACATATATCGCAAGCATATCGCCGAGGGTGCGGTTAAATCTCTCCGTGAGCCCGTTAGTCTGTGGATGGTATGCCGTGGTCTTGCGATTAACAACATGGCATTCAGAAAGCAGAGCCGTGACGACTTCTGATAGGAAGGCTCGACCTCGGTCACTTAGTTATCGAGGTGCACCATGTCGTAGAATGAATCGATGGAGGACGAAGGACGCTACGTCCCGCGCAGTGGCACTTGGAATGGCAGCGGTCACATCGTAGCGTGTTGAATGGTCCACAGCGACTATGATCCACCGATTTTCATCTGATGTTGGTAGAGGACCATAGAGATCAATTCCCATCCGATCGAAAGGTTTGGCAGGGCACGGAAGCGGTTGAAGTGCACCGGACGAGTGGAAAGGCGGTGATTTGCGGCGTTGACAGTCAGGGCAGCCCATAACAAATTTTCGAACAAAATTATACAATCCGCGCCAGTAGAAGCGATGGCGAATGCGTTCGTAAGTTTTGAAAATTCCAGCATGGCCACTTCGGGGATCGTCGTGAAAGGAGGCGCATATTTGTGATCGCAAGCTGCGGGGGACAACAAAGAGCCACT